AAGAGGGAAATCCTAACTATAAGCTAGCTTCCTTCATCCACCTCTCTACATATACTTCTTCAAATACATGCATTTGCCTTTACGAGTGTAGGTGGCATATATCACTGGGTCCAGATATCTCTGTATCTATTTGTCTTATGTTTTATGTTTATATATATATATCTACATCTATCTATACACTTTGATTTAAGATACCTTATAGAAAGTCAGTTTGAATCTTGTCATCTTCAAATCTCTTTTTAAATCGCTGTTTTGATCATAATATATTTTACTGAATTATTTGTAAATCTTTAAAATTAGTCAATCATTGAGTGCTGCTAAAATTTAACCTTTGATTTACCTTATACTATTAATAAGTTCTGAATTGACTAAATCGTAACTGTGTCAAACACCTCCATCCACAACATAGAGTGAGAAACTTCAGCCCTAAAACTAGAGGAGGGATGGGAAACTTTTGGTCCAGGGGATGACTACAATCTACAGTTTAATTCTTCATGTTACTACTGAGTAACACTAAGATGTCATTTGAAGTATTGCCATTCTTTGAAAGCCACAGAAACAGGAAAATATTTTGCATGAACAATTGCAATTAGTGAGTCAAGACGAATATTATTAGAAATAATTATTCTGTATTCCTGAGCTTAAAACATTCATCTTTGTTGACTTTCACAACAGGTGGCTAAGGCATGCGAGTGACTAGCATCTGTCAGCCACTTCTGGGATGGAATACTGAGATACAGCCACTCTTAATTACTTAAGACCATTAAGGAATGAAAAAGAACAGAGTAAAACTAGCTAGTAAGTGAAAGACTAGCATTATTCAGATTGTTATTTACTCTCAATAAAAATCTCAACCCTGCTCATACCAGTGTTGCCTGGGAATAACTGCAAAATGTCAGGGCTGTTACTAGGAGGCTGAAAGACAGACATTTCCAACAACACCAAGCCCTGGAGCAATAGCTACGTATTAGCTAATACCTGAGAAAGCCCTGGTAATGGTGTTTGCTGAGGAGAGGAATTCATCAAGAGGAGGAAATGGCAAACAAAAATAAATTTCGCAATCATCTCAGAGCCTCCTGTGGAAACTCCCCACTTATGAACAGTATTCCTACAGAAAAGGTCGTGCTCCTATCCTCCGTTTACTTAAGCTCACAGGCACTGATGTCATAGGCCAGGTTTTTCCCAAGTTTTATTTCAAGCCTTTGTCAGATAACACCCAGCCATTTCCTAAAACACCCAGTCATTTCCTAAAACATTAATACATCAACGTTAAAGTGGAAAGCAGTGAGGCTGCAGGAACTGGGACGGGGCACACGCAGGCACGTTGTTACACTGCTGAAGCCTACTGATAGTTTGGGCCAAACGACAGGCAGGAGTACGTGTGCCGCATGTGCGCACGCACGTGCAGCTGCCTTGTGGAGGCACACTGCAGCACTGACATCCCAGGGAGCCGGCTGAGAGCCAGCGTGAAAAGAAGCAGCATCACACTAATTTCTTCTTCTTCTTCTTTTTTTTTTTTTTAATTTAACATTTGTCAAACTTGGAGAGAAGCCCAGGCTGCAAAATTTGGATGCAAAATTCAAAGAGCTCAGAAGCTGAAAATGTTCATGTACAGGCTCTTCATTTATGCCTAGTCTTTTTTTATAGGTCATACAGAGATGACTTAATTGCTCTTACTGTAACTTACAATTAGCAATACAGTGATTTTTTTGTATGTCAGTGCACAACAGAGCTATACTCCAAAAAAAATGGCAATGTTTAAGAGTAGGTGGGCATTTGTTTTCCTTTTCAAGAAAGAATTTTCCCTGAAGTTCCTCTCTTTCAGGTAGGGGAAGAGGGGAAGAAGGCCTTTAATGCCATCAGCAGAAAAAAGCGAGTATATTTTGACCAGATCAGAGAGTTGTTTGTAATGGTGGTTTCTCAAAGTCATGTGAACTTCTGGTTCACCTTCCTGCACTGACGCCAGTGTAAATTATTAACTTGTGTCATTACCAAAATACTGAATGCTTGGCATACGATTGAAAGCCACTATTAAAGTCTTGCAATTTCAATATTAAGTCACTAACTCCATAGGAGGTTCTCTATGCAAGAATTGGATCAAGAGGTAAAATCCAGGCCTTACTTTGCACTTTTTACCAGCACAGAACATTCAGCAAATCATGCCATCTGCTGACATTAGAAGATAATGGGGATTGGAATATTACATGCATTACTGTCATACTGTAATAAATGTAACATCACTCCCAAACATCCTAAATGGCCTGTAACCAGCACCTTTAACAAGGTAGCAAACGCTAAGGCTACTTCCAGTTCCAAGGCACCTGCATCCATTACATCCTAGCCCAGAGATAAGATAGCCCAGGGAAATAAGACATGGAGTCATATTATAAAGTTCAGAGGGATTCAGAGCTGCAGAAACCCTAAGAAGTAACACCTTGCCAGTGTTCCTTTTCTGGAGCTTTGAAGAGTAGAGGCAGGAGAGCAAGCTGGCTACTGATGAGCCTTCCTCAGCTACACATTTCCAAGAGCCAAATCTCAGCTCTCCCTGGGGCCACGTATGAGACTGAACTGTTGCAGTCCTCATGCCAAGGACAAAACACGTGGCTTCTCTGACCACATTCAGAAAATGAAGCTCCTTGTTTGTCCCTCTGCACTGCTTCTGTCTGCAGCTAGCTTCTGTTTGGCTTCTAGATGATGTGTAACAGTGACGCCATGCCTCCATGCCGATGTATTTCAGAGTAGTGAAAATGTTAAGAGACTGTGGAAGAAGAGAAATCTATATAAAAGTTAACTCTTATGAATAGTCCTTTTGCCCCAAATATTCTCCAGAAGAAGAGAGACTGTTTTATAGCACAGCGCAGCTTCACGTGCATCCTGCTAACTTAGGGACACCTTCGTTTTGTTAAGTCTTCAGTTCTGACATTGCATTAGATAATGAGCAATGTATGAAATAATGTGAATCAAGTGATTTTAATGTGGCTTCTGCTTCCTGCATTGATCCAGCAGTGGGATAATTACACAGATAATTGCCTTTTTTAGAACAGCCTTTCAGGCTGCTTGTGACAGACCTCATTGCTCTCCTCATGTTTTTAAGTAAGGTGGTGCGGCCACTTGCTGGATTAGTAAAGACTGTTTTCAAAGCAGGGTCAAGGGGTTTTACTGTCTAAATGGGCAAATGCCATTCTTGGCCAGATGACAGTTAAGGGCCACATATCACTCTTGAGACAACAACAGAAGTGTCTTGCTTAGATTAATGCACTTTCAGACAATACCGTGAAAAATAATGTAGATTAATGACATATAATTAGCACACTATTTTAGAATTACTTTGGCATAAAGGAGGCTAGCTTTTCTTCTGGAGATTTCTTCTACCACATTAGAGGGGTTTTGGCCATGCTTGTCTCAACAGATTCACTTCTAATAGAATAAGAGGCTCAATTCATAAGGGAAGGTTTTTGATTAATTGTGTTTGTTATAGTAGCATGAAGGAGGAGGGGGTTTTTTTTGAAAGTATTTACATAAACAGCATTTATACAGCACAACATTTACAATCCAAAAACGTCAGTGAGCTGCTCTGCAGGCAATGCAGAAGGGGATTGCTGTATCTTAAGTTGAAGTAAACCCGCTGTTAAAGTAAACATGCAGTAGCAACACCACCTAACAAAGGGAACATGAATAATAACTTTTCTAATTTAAGCTGAACGTGGGAGGATATAGGTAGGCAGCAAAAGAAGTTGGAAACTGATTTCCAGTGTGATTCATAGAGATTTTCAGCAGTTGCTTGCACAGGTAAATTATAAAAGTTGGCATTTACATATAGCTTTTCACTTATTAAAATCTGACGGGTTTAGGGCTTTTTCTTTTTGGCAAATGAAATTCTGAAGCACAAAGTTAAGAAACTGGCTCATGGTACTGAACGTGTCAAGTATCTTGACTTTCAGACACAAAACTGATCCACTGATTCTGCAAAATACTGCTCAACTTGAAGTGAGAGAAATTAATTGTAAGATGAATGGAATTGCCTACAGGAGTCAGAGGAGGATTTTAATAACACTGGAATTTTACCAATATTGTCTGTGGCTTATGAAAAATGGTAATCCATCCAAAATGATGTACTAGTACTTTAATAACGTTATCTCTTTGTTCTGCACTTCTTCATTACCAACAGCATCTAGAATCACTCCTTCCCTAAACATTTACCAAGACAAAGGGAGCTCCCTTGTTGCCATTACATTTCCAGCCCCTTCCTCCTACATTTTTCTCCTGATTCTGTATCACACAACTAGATTTGGCAACATTTTTCCTTAAGAGAGATAAAAATTAGGTGTTCTAACACAAGAAGAGAAAACAAGAATAATCCGAATGATATCCATGGAGCTGTACTACATACAATAAATGAAAGCAGCATTTGACCCAATGCTAATATGAAGTGACTCTGAATCAGTGATGACACATGGAGGAAAATTAGGAAGCCAACAGTAATTTCCACACAGTACTTTCCACATTCTTTGGTCTTATATAGATTTCATTACCATTGCTTCTGTTAGAGGCAATGTAAAAATAAAAATAATTTCAAAACCCATCCATACCAGTATGTCTAGAGGACCACTCCAAACCAAAAAAAAAAAAAAAAAGAACAAGGAGGAATAGGGTGGTTGTCCATGCATAAATTTGTGTAGGGCAGATTACTAAATTACTAAATTTAATTTAATTACATTAGTTTGTTGCTTAATTCACAAATTTCAATTTGAAACAACAATTTACTTTTACTTGCAGCTGATACCAATTTTGACCCAGCCTTTTAGAAAGGGTAATGCTGTATTATTTCAATATCATCAGTACTTTACACTAATTGTATGTAAATGGCAATAATAGACATTTTAAATTCAAGGTCTTTGCAAGCATTTTCTTTCAGCACTGTAGAATATCAAGATTACAGTCTGTCAGTATCATTCTATAAACTTTCACACTACATAACAATCTCCAATGAAGCAGAGACGTTCATTAATAAGAATTTATTAGTTTATTTGGAAGGGATCTGCAGTAAATCTTTATGGGACAAAACCAAACATTGCTCCATGTTGAGTCCAATGTGTGCATGTTACTACTTACAAGTGCATGACAAGCATTTTGTTAAAAACAAAAAAGAAAAAAAAAAGCCCCCTCCCCCCAACAAAAAGGGGACCCCTAAAGTAACAAAAAAGCAAATGGTAGAAAACTGTATCTTGGGCAAACCAAGTTAGGTCCAAACAATTTTAATAGGCACCTACTGTGGCTTCTGGAATCATTGTTGCATGCATATCTCTAGTCATATTGGATTTCTCTTTCAGCTTTGACTGGAGTAATGTGTGTTCCATTACACCAATTTGTATGTCCATCTGAATGGTTTCTTGCTTCAGTTTTGTTAAGGCCTGTTTAATCTTCACTAGAGGAGCTGTTAAAAAAAAATAAAAATCAACACAACAGTTCAACTGCGCGTCAGCTACTTAACACAAAAGCATTATTTTCTATAATTCACTCCTTAAAATTGAAGACTTGAATGAACAAAAGGGCGTTCTACTCTAAAGACAGGATTGTACCGATACATCATTTTTAATATGCAAGACACTTTAAATATAGAAATAGGCGATGACAATTTTGCTGTCTTCTTGACATCTAAGATCTGCATAAAGATGCGCATCAACATTAAGATAGGTTTGTCAATGATGTGTTTTGCTGAGCTGAAAGCCTCATCCTGATAGCTGACTTGGGATTTGGTAGAGAATTGAAAAGAACTTCAACAGGAGGTCATGTTACCTGTAAAAAAACTATTAAAATGTTTTGTGCGCCATGCGTTTTTTCTAATCCCTCACTTCCCACTAATATTGCCCTAGGGATGCTGCTGCTGCATCACATTGCTCCTTATAATTCTGGGCTCTAGATCTTATCCTGAACCTTGGCCATGCCACAATACAAAAAAAAAAGGTGTTGTGAGGCAAGTGAGTAGCTCCTTCACAGTGAAGCAAGGGTACACAAAATTTCCTTATACAATAACACTTACAAGTACTTAAGGAAATTACCTGTAATGGTTACAGTTAAATATGGATACAGCTTACATATTTAGCCCTACTGTAACATGCATCAATTTATTTCCGCATTCATACTCCTTATACATTTGCAACAGAATGCATTTATCAGGAAAAATCCCAAGTCTGACACAAACTAATTCAAACAGGTATGTAGTTTTAAATATTAAAAAAGTCCAAACATCAAAACACCAAAACTAAGCCAGCCTTAGTCAGAGAATCTAACAGCTACTGCCAGTAACTATTACAGAGTAAAAAGGGCTTGAACCTGTGATGGTTAATTTCTTCCAGTGAGTTGATAACTATTCAAAGCAAACACAAACACCCCCCCCCCCTTTTTTTTTTTTTTTAAGATTTTTACAAATAATTTACCAAAGGGGAGGAAATCCTGGAATTTCTACCTTCTGCAGACTTACGTAACCTTTTCAAAGAGGTTTAGACTCCCAATTTTCTTAGACACCTTTTAAAGTTTTAACACCAATATTTTAGACTAGTCACTCATTCTGGTCTTGTTTTATTTTTCTTTAATAAAAGACAAATTATGTACCTGTCACTGAGAAAATGGGTGTTTGGTTTGAAGTAAAAACATACTTACCACCATCGGTCATACTGCTTCCTTTCTCTTCTGTTTCCTGCTTTACTCTTTCTAATAATTCTGTAATCTTAAAATAGATATTTTTTTCTTAATTGAACCAGATGAATGTCAAGAAGTTAAAAAAAGAAAACAAAAAATTCTCTGCTGAATAACCGCATTAGTTAAAAAAAGAAATAATCTTAGTTGTTGTATATGGAGAACAATTTTTTCCCAAACATTAAGAAAATTTTAATTTGCATAAATTAATGTTGTAAAAATTACAGCAATAAAAGTAACAAGTTGGCCAAACAGCATGGCATTACTGAGAATTTGTGCATCCCAAAACAATAAAAACAACAGTGTAAGTGTTGTAGTATGATGCTGGATAAGGACCCCTATTCCCGCAGACCAAGTTTCACCACATGACCATGCCAGCTGCCCTTCTGGAAGCGTCAGGACTTAAGCAGGTGAAGTGGAAACCTGAGGAACAGCACTGCAATGAAAGATGGTGCAGCAGTCAAGCCTGCTGGCATCGGCACGAGTATGGGTATGTAAAATGCAAGAATGAAGAATGAAAGTGCATTTCAGCACTGACTATCTGTTGACCAGTTTGCCTTTGTAGACAGTGAAGAAAAAGCAAATATGTGATTCGAAGGTACAGTCTAGGTAATTATTTAGTATTTTTGTCTAGAATAGAAAAATTGTCCTTCATTAAGGCTTCAATAAGCCTTTTCAGTAACAAAACAGAAACACTGCCGCATTGTTAATGCATACCTACAGCAGTACTGATATCACTGAGTGGGCTGAGATTTGACTGCATGCCTGAAAGCAGATCAGTAGTAATACCCAACATGTCTAGCTTATCTCAGCTATGCACCACTGCATCCACATAGGCTGCCAACTAGTAATGTATTCATCATTACTCATCGGCCAATAATTTCTGGAGTACAAACACATTATAAATCTGAAGTCTTTGTAAAGTGTTTTCTTTTTTTAAACTTACTTCCTTGAGAGTGAAATAGAAAGAAGCTCTAATTCGGCAGAATCGATACACTTGGAAATCTTTGTGAGAAAACTCTCGTTAAACTGCTGTGTTTACTACCTACTGCAGTTGGACTAGATGATCATTCTGGTCCCTTCCAACTGAACTATTCTATTCTATTCTAAAAAGTCTCAAACCTGTTTTTAAATTTCTAGCGCATTCTTATGGTGTGATATAGTTGATCTGACTATTCCAGACATTTTATTATCTTATAAATGAAGTGGGTTTTTCAAACCCAAACAACAGAGTTGTTAAAAAAAATTCTGAATTAAACAAAAGGTTGAAAAATTTGGAAATCAGGCAGTAATTCTAAATGAAATGTCATGAAGCACTCAACAAGTTGAGGCAGTTAAGAGTCTGGGGATTTTTCTTTAAATTTGTCAGAGCACTGATTTAAAAAACCAAAAAACCCCAACCAAGCAACCAAAAAAACCCCAATAGAAAACCAGTTTTAGATATTAAGATAATTTGACTGGTATGGAAAGGTTACTATTTAGTCAAATACTGCTTTTAAGTGCTTGGAAGATGAAAATTTCAAAATGTTAATTTTAACTAAAAATAAGAGTTAAGCTTTTCTTCTTCCAAAGAATTTATGGACATCATTAATCGTCAATAACTCTGGGTCACAGGATACAGAACATTTACCCTCTTTTACAAACTGGGGAAATTAAAAGCTCACAATAGTTTGCCCAAATTCACAAGTTAAAAATCAATGGCAGCCTGGGTTTAAAACTTAGGGACTGGACTAGATCACCTCCACTAAACAAACAGGTGAATCTTTAACTCAGAAAGAACTGGGTTCATCAAACTGCAAACACTAAATGCTAACTCTCTGAAGATTGTTTTAAAATAAGCAAAGGAAATTATGTGAAGATGTGTTTTACCTCAGAAAGCACTCTAATCCTCTCAGTTACTCCTCCACTTCCTTCCTGGTATTTCTCTTTAGCCTGGAAAGAAACATGGTTTTTGCTGTAATGACAAAGCTGCGGAGATGTGTGCAGATAGCTCAGACAGAACAACAAAACTTGCTCTCACACGTCCCAATTCCAGAAACTCCCACACAGCCCCAATGTCATTTACAGTGCTACATCTATAAGGACAGGCTTGAAACATCAGCCCCTGTAATGACTATCATTCAAAAATTTAAAGCAGTTTTAAGAATTTTAATAGTCCTAATACCTACACAATAAGAAGTATGTTTTCTAATCATTTACATGAGGAAATAAGCATAAAGAAAATTTGCCAGAACGCAGACAGAACTGAATCCCAAAACCCAGAATATTTATTTGTCAACAGTAAATTACTATCTTGAAGTCTCTTAAAGTTTAATAGCAAGGTAAACAGAAAGCACAGAGATCAAATCCTGTTATGTGTTGGTCTTATTTTAATGTCATGCCCATAAATAGGAAGGCTAGCCACGTGGCAGCTTATAGAGGCCTCCTAACTAGGGGATCAAAAAGCTTCACAAACAGCACTCTGTTGGCATGAAATTAAATGAAGAAGTAATCAGAGTGCTTTGTGCATGTTAGTACAAGTAATCAATATAAGAGATGAGTGCTGGACTGAGACTGTAGTTTTTCCACTCATCACAGATGCGTGAATTTCACAGGGAAAGCAGAACTAGCAATTTACTAGCTGCTCAAGATTGGCAACAGATTTACATAATATTCAGGCAAAAACCCATTTACTTTCCCCTGTAGAACAGTTGAATAAAAATTGCTAGTTTAGCTTAAAAACTATATAGTTTGACAGCAAATCAGCATTTCCCCTGCTTTATATCCAACAGCAGAATTCGCAGATAACTCCTCCGAGTCTTCTTTGCCTTCACCCTCGCTTAATAGCAAGTTAATACTAGCGAAGGCAACAACAAAAGATTGGTGCATTACCTCACTCAGCAAGGCTTGCGCTGAACGGTACTCTTGAACCAAGTGCTCCAACTGACTGTTGATGTACTTTTCCCTACTATTGATCTTTTCCAATGTTCTGCTGATTTCATTATGGAGTTTGTCGAGGTAACCCTAGAAAATCGTATTCTGTGGGTTGACAGTATGCAGATAGTATGCAAAAAGTATTAAAATAGTGCTGTAATTAAGAAAGGATATGGAAGCCTACAACTGAGAGAAAAAAAATAGTACAGAAGTGCTGTGTTTGGTCAACAAAAAAAACATTCCTAATGTGTTCTGGTTTGGCCACCTCCAAAACACGTATTTCAAGCTTTACTGCTTCCACCTCTCTCCCCCTCCCCCCCAATTAATTACAAATGTCAATGTCAGTAAATTACTCTCACAACAGTATTTGACAGTATTTTGGGGTTTTTATCAGCACTTATTTTCAGATTGTATTATTGTATTATTCTATTTTGCCCTCTGTAGTCTGGATGTACTAATGGTAACGCATATGTTAATGAACCCTAATATCCCTGTTAATCCTCACATATACAACTCTTCCCCCACAAGATATTTTGCCAGTACCACTGTCCCTAATCATCATATGTTTCCCTTTTTAGTTTTACAGCATTAGCACAAATAAAAATCAAGAAAAAATAAAAACAATTTAGTTCTTGACATATATCAAATAAACAAGAAAATAAAAATGCTGACAAATCAGTGAAATATTCTGCACGTACAAGACGTACCCTAGTTTCTTTCAAAGAAGATTCAATTCCATCCTTATGCTGATGCATTTGTTCTACATGAATCCTCCAATCCTAAAAAAAATGCCATAGAGTAAAACATAGGCAAGTATAACTTTTATCTTTCTCCGGTTACTACACAAAGGCTGGTATGCAAGGCAGTGTCAGTTCTCTTTTATACTATTACCGTGTATCATTCTGCCACTGCCATGCTCAGATCCAGAGGCACTTGCATGGCATATGGCACAATTTATAAATTTCTTAAATGTCACATGTGATGCTCAGATCCACGAGCAAACACTGACACCCTCACTGATACCACCATAGCTATGCTTTTAGATTCTGTGAGATCTTCATGGAACTATTTCGGCTAGAACCATTCTGAGCACAAATACTGATAATATTGATTACAGCTGCACTAGCTCAGCTTGTTCTTAGACAAAATTAGTGCTTCAAATGCCCAACACCTACCAGTTCCAGATTATCAGATCTTCCCTTTCTGCTCAGCCCTTACTATTATCAGGAGAACAATGAAAAAAAATGAAAGAGGCAGAAATACCTAAACTTGTTTTTGATAGTGGGACAAAATTAGGAAAATTACTAGCAGCTTGTAGGTCACAGGAAACATACATAGACTCAGAGATGGGGGATGAGAAAAGGTGCTGTTTTAACTTGACAGGTAGGCATCTTTTACTTAGAAATCAATTCCATTTTCAAAGCTTTATCACAAATTTTTCCTTATCAATGCAAACTTTTTACATCTCCCAGACCCAAAGCACAGCTGCAGACAGAGCTTGAATTCAAAATGAAGCAGAGTAGCAGCACTGTGGAATTACTGCTATTTCAGTATTGTGTTTCTGAACATGCTAAAAATATTTTTAATATTTTTAAGCTTTTGCACTGTACTGGTCTAGGTGTTAAAAAAAAAGTGATGTTAATAAATCTTTATCACTTGAAATCAAACCTTAGAGACTTTCTTGTAAAATAGGTACCGTAAGAATACGTAGAAGGTGACAGTGTTTGCTTCAGTAAAATTATCTAATCAAGGACCTTATCAAAAAGAATGCTAAGCGAAACATAGAGAGGCACAAACCTGACCAACAGCAATAATAGAGGCAGTACCAAGAAACAAACCTGGACAGTTATACTAATGGATAAGGGCATGTGGAGTGTGAGAATGTTTGTATCAGTACAATTATCTGATCTAAGACCTTGTTAAAGTGGGATAAGGAAAAGGAGGGGGAAAAAACCAAAACCTACAGAGACAGACCTGCCAGACAAACACTAAGGGAGACAAGGACGAGAAACAAAGCTCATCAGTCACACTAACTTACGGGCTATCAAGAAACTGCAAGCATCACTTCAAAGAAGGTAAACCTGGCCCTTGCAACTCATAAGAATGCAAACAGGGGGGTTCTGGATATTCCAGAAGAGGGTTGGTGCAAACTGATGAAGCAACAGCAACGTGCAGGGGAAGGAGACTGGGGAGGAACAAAGTGGGCAAGAGAGAGGAGTATAAGAGGGGCTGGTCATGTGTAAACTGTTGCCAGTCAGTCCACTTGTCTGACTGAGCCCTGTGCCGGATCACTGCAGTCTGCCCTATCTTCTCAAATTCTTTTAAAATTATCTTTCTTGCTATCTCACACTCTATCCCACGCGTGTGAGTGCTGCAAAGACTAGGCGTTAGCTGCTGGTCAGAAGGGATATGGGGCCAGCAACTGAAATCAGACCAGGGCTGCAGGTGTCCCACACCTGTGGTGTATGCAGCCAGAGAGAGTGGTGGTCTCAGTGCCAGCTACAGTAGCAGGTGAGGGTCTCAGCCACCAAGGCAGGAGCAGCATGTATCCCAAAATCCAGCAACGGGGAAGGACTAGTGTGAGTAAAGCAAGTGAGGGGCTTGCTCAGTGCCAGCAGCTGAAGTGATACTGTGGGTCACAAGCCCATGTTGTTGGTGCCAGCTGCTGGGGTGAGCACAGGGAAATGTTTGCGTCTTCCCTAAAGCTGCTGTGCGTGCGTAAAATTCAACAGCAGACTTAAAAGTGAACTAGCCATCAAGTAGTAGGCCCTGGATCCAGGCCTGGGTATAAGGCAGGCAGAGGGTGTACGCTGGTATTCAGGGGCACTCACAAACGTGGAGTGCCCTTAAGACAAGCGCATGAGCGTGTGAACCTGCTTGCTGGCAAGCGTCAAGCTGAACTAGCCGGCAAGTAGAAGAGCAGTGAAACAGTGAAGAGGGCCCAGGATCCAGGCAGGGGATCAGGTAGACAGAAGGACCATGCTGACAGCTGAGGGATCCATGAATGTGCATGTGCTTGTGAATCTAGAGAGAAGGCGGTGTGTTCTTTCACTACTGAACTCCAATCTTAATTAGCTGAGGAGGAGGAAGGGGGGCCTGGCTGTCTATACTTGTATGTTATGGGACTCCTACAAGTGCTGTTGAAAACCGGGCCTTGTTTATGGCAGTTGGTGTAGCTGGCCATGTCAGGGTCTTCTCTGTGTCTGCGAGACACATGCTTCTGAACCTGCAAACAAGAAAGAAGCACCAGCTGCATCCATTAGTCTCGGATGGGGACCCGCAGGTCCCCAAGCACACAGGGCTGGGCTGCAGCACCTCAGCAAGAGGAATTCCCAATCCTGGAACTCCTGGAGGATTACAATGCCTCATAACAGGTACAAACAAATCCTGGCTTAAAACAGCTGCACACTTAAACGTGTGCCATCCTTCAGTCACAGGCAGTTCCACTAATTTGAAGTGAGGCTATCCCCCTGCATAGGACATGCACATAACTACCAAAGGACTGGTAGTTCTCCTGTCTCACTATCTCAGAAGAGCACAGCTGAGCATCTCCACTATTCTCTTCCAGAACAAAACAAAGGCTGGTAGATAAAATGCGCTTATGTTGTATGTGGGGTTTTAAGTTTGTGGAAGACTCAATTATCTTTTGTTGGCCTGGTGACAATTGTTCATGATTTGTCAAACTTTGAAGTTTAAATAAAAACAACAAACAACCCCCCCAAGCACACCTCCCACCCCTGCCCAGGACTTTACAAATATGTTCTAGTTTCTAATGCCATTGATTAAACCATTAACCCTTTCCTGGTACAATGTATATATGCACCACATAGGAAACAGAACGTTATGTTTTTCTTGTAGAATGAAAAAACACCAAACACTTCTCTCCAGTTATTTCTGAAAGCATGATAGCACAGAAGCTAGAAAAAGAAGAATCCCTGTTTTCATGTTAATTTTGAAATATTCCTTAAAGCCAAGAGATGGCCCATTAAACTGGAAGTTAGTAAAACCTCAGTTCTTACAGTGGCTTTAATTTTCCATGTATGTCTTTATTGAGTTTTAATTTCTTAGTATGAGAATCAAGCATGATGTTCTCTGTAACAGATGGGTTTGCTGAGGATCAGATAAAGATGGCTCAAACTCGGCAATTTTTCACATAAAAGAATGCAGTATAGTGCAAGACAGGCAAGCAATTTAACAGAGAGTTGAGAGCTTAGCCTATTTTTCGCAAGATAATTATCTTTCATTGAATTCTGTACCACTGTTACAGATTGCTCCAATACCCCAACTAGCTGGGTCACAACAAATGAGCAATTTCAATACCGCAATGATCTGTGTGTGCTATACAAGCTTCTAGAAGGGTTTATGGCAATGCCAGGAATAGCAGGAGTGTGTGCATGAGTCCTAGCTTTGGACTTTGACTTGCCAAAAATATATGTCTACTTCTAAGCTGCTCATTCTAGACTCCTTGGAATAGACTATAGAGAGAAATAGTCATTTCTAAGAAATGATGAATTTCATTTTGAGGTAATTATCTGGATAGGTAAGTAAAATCAGTCAAAAAAGTACTTACTTCTTTTTGCTAAACAAGGAGACCCCACGATGACTAGATCAGAGGTACAGACCTACTTTATTACTGTTTAAAGTTCAGCATGATGAATTCCATGCAATCAGCCTTTCATGTGGTTGACAAATTGAACAGTTGAAAGTTCCTCAGCTCTCTTCCAGGAAGATGTTTTAATAGCTGCTAAACTGAGGATATTATTTTTCAGAAGTATGAATGCATTGGAAATGTTTAACAGTGTAAGAGGTTTCCACTGAGTAAATACCTGGAAATAAATACCTGGAAATAAGGTGCCCTGTAAATAGCAAAAAAAATACTGGAAGAAAACCTACTGAAAATTATTGCTTCTAGGGTCAACATTAAGTGACCAAGATTCAGACAAGATAGCGTCGGAGAGCCCATTATTCACAATTCTTGGCATGACAAAAGAAAAAAAGTTGTAAATGGAAAGTAATCAACACTGATTGAAATCACACTTTAATCACCATGTATACATAACATGCAAAGCCATTCTCGCATACCTTATTGTCAGTCCTGACCGTAACTTTCAGCTGTGGAAGCACACGTTCCACTTCTAGATTCCACTCTGCTGCATCTGTTGTGGACTGTAAAATCTCTTCTTGCTTTGCAGAGTCATTCATATCCTGTGTAAAAATCACAAAGTTTATATAGAAAATATCATCATCATGCACAGCAAGACCTGTTAGAAATCATGTTACAATGGCTTACAGTGTTCATAGTCAGAAAAAAATTTCTATCCAGAATGATCTAGACTACAGATAGAAGATTTCTCTAATGGCTTTCTCTGAATTTATAAAGACTAGAAATTAAAATAAATATATCTTATCTTCATATTTAGAATTGAAAATAAGTAAATGTATATAATAATAAATTATACTACATTCCACAAATAGCAAGGGGGGGGAAATTGTAATACATTCGAGAAACTAATACCATGTTTCCCTAAAAGTCTCTGCAAAAGTTTCTTGGAAATGTTTCCAGCAACCTTATAGTGATAACAGTTTAGAAACTGGATGTAGATTTTTCTTTTAAAATAAGCTGATTCATTTCAGTTGGAATGTTTTTTCAAGTTTAGACTACATAAGTACTCTGACATTTAAATCCAACAGAAATAAATTGCTGCTACAGATGCAAAAATCTCTCAAGAGAGGACTGATGGGTAACAACTTACTGATCTGTATGTTTGTGCCTTCAGAACATTCAGGTCAATAAAACTGTCTTCATTGTCTGACTCTTCTTCCTTAAAGAAAGTTGCAAAGGAAGACTTCAGTAAGTATTGCACAATCTTTCTCCATAATTTTATCTTGCAGGACAAGGAGTGTTAAATTCTAAATTTCTGACATGGAGAGTTTATGATAATGGAGCTTGTGTTTACTTAAAATCTTATGAGGAGACACAGTATCTGGGACAAGCTGAAAGATGAGAGCTATCTCATATTTCCCTCAGGGTGCCACAGCATTTAAAAACTAAACAAACCCCCCCGCCCAGAACTTAAGCCCTCTCACATCACATGGGCCATTATCAACAATTGTATGGTAACTATAATTTCTTATGTGTTTCCTAAAGCTTTGCATTAAAAATAAAACCAAACAAAAAACCAAACCACCACCAGACCTGAACACAGTTTTCAAGATTATGTTTGCACTACAGATTTGGAGCTGCAGAGTGATGCCACATTTTAAAAAGCGTGCAGAATGATACGATTCAAATTGAGGCAATCAATTTGTTTTCTTGCCCATGATACTATGCACTGGCTGATGGTTTTATAGAATTATCTATTAGAGTCTCAAAATCGCATTCCTCAGTGATCATGATCAGCTCAGAGCCCATCACTGCATAAGTCAAAGATGCTTTTGCTGTGTGTTACCCTCCATTTATCTATACTGAATTTCACCTGCCATTATCACCCATACACTTCATGCTTAGACATTTTGTCCTTCTGTAGCTCTTCTAGTAGCCATCGTCTTTTCCACCAAAGTCAAATTTCATCATTCACCCCCTTCCTAGACAAATCATGAATGCTGAAATAACAGAGGTCTTAGTGTAGAACCCTTCAAGACACAGTGAAAACCTGGGAGCTTATTCCTGTACCTCACTTAGTTTTTAACTGACAGAGACCGATTTATTTTCTTCTGGCATGTTTGACACCCTAGTCCCCTGAATACTTGCAAGAAATTAATGACGACTAGATTGGGACTATCTTTTGCTAAATGGACAATGTATATTTGTACAGGACTTGGAAAAACATATTAGAACACTACCATAACAACAACAAGACTAGTTATCAGAACTGGGGAACCAAACTGTGCAGTTAGTCTCACTGACTACTGCTCATCTAGTTCTCCAAGATTAACAGAACTAGGCTTGTCTCCGTCAGCCTCATCAATTTCATTCAGAAGAATCAAAACCAGAAGAACAATCAATGAACCTCATCGTTAGCATTTAACTGCTGAAAATACTGCTAAATTCAATTATGGATACAGCTAATACATCCAGGATGTATCAATATATTGGCAGTAACAATGGACTGGGGAAAAAATAATTACATCAGCATATAATCAATCCCTGTAGAACCATTAGGGGCTCTAAAAATGGTTATCCACTTGGTATAAACCTAGCCTAATGGTTTTATTAACATACAAACTCAGAAGAGCTAATAAAATATGTTAGTTGTGAAAATCATGCCCTAAGATACTACCTGAGAGCAAATCCAGAGGTTCTTTGAAGGGTTTCAACTGTGCTTTAGTTAATTGTTTCCTCCCCACTTCCCAATTTAAACAGCTTAGACCTTAATGAGACACAGAAAAGAGCAGACAGCTGACTGTTTTCATATTTAAAGCTTTTAGCCCACAGCTTACATTTCTGAGGCTGGTCAAACATGCAACACAAAATGTCTCTTTTTGTTCTCAGAATTACTCAAGACTTTTTTCTGTGGAGACTTCAAAGCTGATAAAAATGCAACCAGACAGCCACATCACAATATCTGCATATTGTATGAAATTTAAGAATAAAAGTTTGGATTTTTTCTTGGCTAATAAAAATGAGAAAAATAACAATACTTTGGAAAACTGTGAGAAGAGGAAGAGAAGCAAACTCTTCAGCTGCTACATTCTTGTAGACTACTGTGGCATATAAATTGGGACTATGATCAAAACCATATGACAACATTACTGGCACTCTATTTCCAACTTCTATGACCTTTAATTTTTCCCAGGTACTTGAAAAACGTGAACACAAAAATGGGACAGTTGTGGCATTTTCTATCCAGTATTGCTCGGCCTTAGTACTCCAGAAAATTGTTTTCTCCTCAAGTAATTTACTGACACGGCAAGTAAGCACTTCCAGGTTCACAACTTTGGATATTTTTGTTTTGATCTACGTTTATTTTGCACAGAATCATCAGATTTTGGAGAAATCGGATGTGAAACTACATTCTTTTTGCAATTTTAATTGTCTTTGGCTAACTTCCCTCTCCAGAAAAAGTTTGTTTAAGTCATCAGTAAAAAGACCGACTTCGAGGAGACTGACAGAGGCCAGTGAAAATGACAACGTCTTGTGATAACATTATGCTACCAGAAAACAAGGAGACTTCTACTCTCATAAAAATCATCTTCTGAGACAGTCAATCAGCAAGAAGCAACTTCTGTTCAACATCCATCCATCATTAAGTCCTAAAAGCATATTTGAACTTACACGTGTATTTCATAGGCTGTTTCACAGACATGACAAGTTCACTGTAATTATTATAGTTAAAAAGCAGGATTAAATAAAACAGTTCATATGCTCAAACATTGCCATCTTGTTGGGAAAAGGTATTTCAAAACAGAAGGACTTATTATGCAGGCCGAAGGGAAGACTGGATATTACCATTTCATTCATGGAATATATAGCGATGAGCTGCTATGACCTTTCTCTACAGAAACAATTCTGCAACCTTTATTTAGGTGGTTTTAAACAAATGCTCAGTTTCCAGTTGTTCTTTTCCATCTACCCTGTTCCCAAATCTTATGATCAACTAAGTACCAAAGTTACTGTTTCCTCTTTGCAGTGAAATCCAAGTTACAGTAGTGAGCACTCCTCTTAATTAAGCACTGGGCAAATTTTAACCAGATATTAGCCAATTCTGTAAACAGGGATTGAAGTTTCTTTTAACATCAACAGCTTGTATCAGCAGAATACAAACAAGTCTGAATCTATTAAATTTTAATGAATGGTTAGATTCCACTTCACTTTAACTATAAATGCACAAAAGAACATAAGTTCTGTCCCAAAGAGTTAACAACCTTATCTGAAAGGAAACAAAAACTCTACAGAGAAGCTGACAATGCAGGAAAGGAGACGGTGGAAAAAAGTGCGATGAAACAGGTAGTAGAAAAGACTTCTTAAACAAAGCAAAACAAAATGAACAGTGAGAAAAATTTCCTCATAGCTGACCAATACTAATATAATCAAAACCAGTTAGGTAAACCTACCACAACATCCTCTTCCAGTTTATTAAGCATTAATTCTGCATCATCTGCTGTTATTTCTTCTTCTTCTAGCTCTTCCGTTGGATATGCTGGCCTGAAATTAGTTCAGAGAACAGCAGAGCTTTTAAACACAGTAAATTGGAAATACCTCTGTAAATTGCTCCTAAGCAAGCAAAGCATGAATGATGTGGAATAGGACTAGACAGTGTCTCACACACTTAAACAAATAAAATTTATACTCAGCCTTAAAAGTCTTTGTTTATCTTAAGACTGTCTTAAAAGAGAGGGTTAGTTAGTTAGTTACCAAGCAGTACAGTACATTCAGACTGCAAAGACATCGTTTTCTCTTTCGGTCTAACCTCTTAAATTTTAAGTGCAAGTTTTTGGCTTACAGTGGAATTTGTGTACTAAATAGAGGTAACAGTAAATACTTCCAAGGTAGAAATTACTTCGTTATATCCATTTCAAAACCCATCAGAGGGAAAGAATGAAATAAAGAGAACTTTTAAACAATTTTTCATATACTTGAAGTTATCTGACATCTAATTTCTCCTAAGATTTCCTTTGGATTTAATACTCAAAGTTACTGTACCCTACTTGTCACGTGATCACATACTGTGCATACGTCCAACTGAAGAGGTCAAGATTGATTGATAGGACCTAAAAGAATATTAACATGTTTGAACTCAACTGTCAGATTAACAAGCAGATATGCATAGGAAAATGAAAAAAAAAAAAAAAAAAAGAGTAATCAGTCAAATCTTTATTAATTAGCTAAATCTACTACTGGCCCAAACTCATCCTTGCTGGTAATAGAGTAAATTGTGTGAAACTGCATTAGGAACTAATTTATCCCACTGCTTCATACCTAGTTGAATCTTGCATCTCATGAAACATCAAGTAAAACATTTCATTTTCGGTTATTACTATGTTTTGTCTTTACAACTTACACTTGTTTGCTGGAAAATAATGCATAAGGGAGGACCTTAAAAGCGTACTATACCTTTTCCAGCTAAAGCCAGTGTGTTTCAAGGCTTCTTCAGCTAAACAATCAAGAACATAGCATGCTTGCTCTCCGTAACCTGCCTTTAATTTTGAGGGAGGAAAATCCACGGGCCTTCCCTAAAATAAAAAGATACACTGTTTACTAATGGCCACCCATTAATCAAGCTTCCTCTTAGGGAGGTAACAAGATTTACTACACTAAAACCAAACTGTCCATTGTGTATGAAGATTTTACCAATGTTAATTCATATTCTTCCCCTATGCAGCTCCAGTCAGGCAACAGAAGGGAAGACAGAACAACCCAAGGAACAGATGCAGTGTAGAAACGCTAAAGCACCTGGTAAAAGGATATTCATGGGGAGCAGAAGAGTCAGAAGCTGCAAGGGAGCTAGATGTCAAGCACACAAGTGACATGCTGACAAGGCAAGAAGAGCTACAGAGGAACTTCATGTACTCAGACTTAACCACCAGCTTTTCAACACTGCCTTATTTGTTCCAGATTTTATTTATAAAATGTTTTATTTTTATTTATTGCTGTCCTAGAGAATATCTCAGTTTTTAATCAAGTAATTTCTTTAGAGAACAGTGTTCTTAGTATCATTCACAGCTGTACAACAGTGTTTGTGTATATATATATGTATTTATGTATATATATCTTCCATAAGATCCATACTTCCTGTAAGCTGATACACTCTCCTGACCTTCTGGTGTTGGTTTTTTTTTTTTACTATTGAAAAAAATCCAAATAGTTCCTGGCAGTTTATGCAACCTTTTACTCCTTAACGAAAAAAAATGAAGAAAACGTGAACACAATTCTACACCATTTCCTTCACTATGAATTATACCATTGACTTTAGCAGGAGCATGATCACAAGCACTAAGAAAACTTTCAAGATAAAATCTTTGTAAATTATACCACTATAAATGAGCAACATATGTGGCACTATAAAAAGTAAGCCTGATTTAATCCATTTTACGGATTGTGGAACAAAACTAAATGGAATCATATATTACATTGTAAGACCATTTTTGCAGTGCCAAAAAGTTAGCAAGTAGGTACACACAGTATAAACTTCCAATTAACTAATTACCATAGTACAAACTTCTAGATAGGAAAAGTCTGTCCAGTCCTTGGGAACATAATCAGAAAGCAGGGGAAGTGTGTCATTACTGTTATTTCTGAAGGTGGTGCACGTGCTTGAAACACACTTGGGAAAACAGCATATTCAACACTTACAAATGATCGCAATTCTGAGAGTACATTTGATATTATGGCATTGGGGTCATCATATTCTTGTGGCTGTTCGAAGGGACGTCCCGCTTTAGTGATCAGCCAAGCGGCAAGCGTGCAAAACATAAAGAACTGCTCACCAGGATTAGTGGGCAGTGCAAAGTAGTGCCTGTTTAAAAAGGGGAAAGAATGGTAAATAAAGATCTTTTGAGCTCCTGAAGCTCTTACACCATTATAGGCCAGCACAGGCTAGAAAGCAGTTTCTTTAACTGACTTTCTCAATGAGTGATCCATTTGAACTAAATTCAGACTAAATTTTCTATGTGCTGCTCATCTGTTTCCTACTTTGAGTAAGCTATTCATCAACATTAGACTTCCAAGGAATCAAATGGAAACTGGGTACTCCTCTCCCCTGCCAGCAGGATTATACAGCTTCAGTTAAACACCACCAAATTAACATTTCCACATAAACCCAAGTTACTCTTCTTATTTACCTGAGCAGTTTCAAATCACAATGAGCTCAATTCTGTTCCCATTTAATTTTATGGATACAGAGTCCATCCCATCACTCCATAAAACATCATCACTGATTAATTAAGAGCCTATACAATGGATTGATTCAAATGTCCCTTGCATAGCATAAAATACATAAAAGCTCAAAAGAATCAGAAGTCAAATATCCGCAATCACCAATAACTTGTAGGCCATAAATAAGCTAAGATTTTGCTAAATATCAGGCATTTTTCACAGGGCAAGTGATTTACAGTGCAAGACAAAATTTAAATTTGAAAACCATCCTCTGAATACTTTAGCAAAAGTGATTGATAACTACTGTCAACACCACACAGCAAACAACCTACTCCAAAACCAAAATTAAAATGATACATTGCTAAAGCTTTATACCTTTACCCATGATATTGGAAGGCAGGGTGGATTTATCTCCTCTTTCATCTACTGTAGAACACATTGAAAAATGGTTTAGAAGTGCATATTGCTCTCCATTAAAGGGACCTGACAAATAGCTCAATGAAAGGTATCTGTATTTGGGTATATGACTATACCTCTTTAAAACTAACTAGCTAACGAACTAAATATTGCACCAAATGACCACACAAAAACTTGAAAGGCACTTCCTTGAGGAGGGCAGAACAAATTTACTGAAGCCTCATTGCCTAAAGATACGTGTCCTCTGCCTGCATACTGTCCTCATCCATGGTATTATATCACAGTAACCTCACCTCCTATTCCCTCCTTAACATCCCCAAATACTCTTCCTGACAAGAGAAATACATCCAGTTCCTTTTGCTCCAAAGTTCCCCAAACCTCTTCCCCTTCCCATATTCCTCGGCTACCAGGTGGGCAAGAGGCCGGTGTACCTGAATCAGTACGTAAGCTCAGATCAAGAGCATGTTTTTGAAGCGATCCTTCCACCCATCCTCACCTACCATGCTTTGGGTCACTTTAGAGAGCACGGTACACAAACTGGATCTATCTTGGATGACACTAAATTGAAAGGTATGGTCCTAACAAGAATTCAGTCCATAAAATCAGACCACAGTTAGTCCCCCAAAAATATGTATCGTGTGCACGCTGGATACTCGGAACCAAGCGCTTCCCTGTACAGACACGGCTGCTCGCTAACGTGGACAAAGGTTTGCTTCCTTGCTCCAAACGTACCGATGGTCCAACAGCTGGCTAAAACCATCTTATGGCCACTGAGCTCATACTTGAGGGTCTCTCCCAACATGAGGATAATTTGGACTATAGTTCTCCCCGCTACTAAACTGTTGCTTATAAAAAGCTTAACTGCGTGATATGCTGCTGTGCAACCTGGCTGAAACTGATGGATGGATTTGAAAGTTATTTGGATAGATGGATAGTGGAAGCGCATTGCTCCCGTTTCCCAAGTTTCCTCTCTCCCACCATAATTAAAAAAAAAATTTGCTAACATATGAAACAAATATGTATTAGATATGAAAAGAGACTTAAAAACAATGGGTCCAAGCCCCCTTACACATATACACAGCCCCAAATAGTTGCCCCGAACACAAGAAATTCATTCAGGGCAGAATTATTTTTTTGCACAGATACACTGGCATGCAAATATTCAGTATCCGCTGGGGGCAGGAAAAGTGAAGTGATTATTTACTTATCACATCTCACCCTTTAGAGGGACCTCTCGTTTTGAAAGCTTCAAAAATCACATGGGAAGCAATGAAGTTGACTGGTTTTTATTTGACCTAGGCATCTTGTCATCAGCCAGCAGTTCCCTTCCCTAATCCCCGACCACAGGAGCGTAACGGCCCGCTGGGATTTCTTCCTGCTAACACCCTGGGTGCGCAGCCGGACGCGCACACCCGTGCGCGGTATCACTGTCCGACCCCTCTCCCTGCAGCCCTGTCAGCTGCCCACCCTCACGCGTGGA